GAATTAAATATATTATAATCACTTCGATTGGAATATAACATTATTACAGGCTTCTATATCTTACAAACACTCTTCCAAATATATTCACATGACACCAACAAATTACGAAACTTTTTAGAGCAAGGTGCTGTCGAATTTTACAACACAGGAAATGACGTCGGTTATATTTATATACTGTAGGCCTAGCCTATTTCATGTACATCCGGCAAAAATCAATAAATGTGATTTTAATCCTCAAAATGTTATATCTTATTATCTTACATGTCTATATTCTTTCAACAAACGGGTTACTTTTTCTATTAATAAGATAAACATTAGCAGTAATAATGCAATATTAATAAACATAAAGCCTACAAGAATTACTACTTGCATTATTTTTTAGATTATTGCAGAGAACTAGAAAAACGTTTAAAAAATGAAATTTACACTATATATTAATTAATTTCATTTCCAGAATTTTTGCAGGAAGCTTGATGAGTGACACAATTTTTGGCTATCTATGAATAATTGGTAAGTTCTGTTGCCCTTCACGATTGAGTCCGGACATTCTTTCCTGATAGTTGTGGCTTCTTTGTCTATATCACTGCAAAAGAAAAATATTGAGAAAAGATAAGGAAACAGAGAACGAATTATAACGGAGTATTATCAAATCATAATTAATATATAAATAAAAACAGAGGCAGAGCCAGTAGGTTTGAAATAGAGGGGGCCCACGGGGAGGGACTTTGCCAGATGAATTGTTCCCTCCACCTCAGCCCCACCATGGTTGGGACTGAGGTAAGAAACTTTTCGATTATGGCACCTCTAGATGGCAAGAAATGACACTCTCAGATTTTAAATTTGAATGTAATTTTCCTTATTTCTCCAATTTTTTACCATTCTAAAATATTTGGGGTGGGGGAGGGGAAGGCCAGCTGCCACCCCCCCCCCCCCGGGAGCAACCCAATCTGAACATTATCGTATTCAGTTATCGCAATGGACAATGCTGCTGATACAACATAATAGTAGGCCTACTTCACAATTCTTATCATATCTGCATTATCATATTAAATATTAATTATTTATAGTATCATCATACCACATAATGTTGTGAGGATTATCAAATACATGGCATTGGGTAGGACAAGTAGATCGCAATAACACAAAAATATTATGTTAGCATTCCGATTGTCATTTGTAAAATAAATTTATAAAAAAAAGTGTACTATTCGATAGAAATGAATATATAGATTCATATTAATTGCAATATTCAAACAATAAACATAATACTATAACTATCTTCATACAAACATTTTTCATGATATAATATTTGTTGACTGATTGATTGAATTTATTCGATGCTCAACATGGATAAGCAAGATAACAAATTAATTGAGATCAAGAAAAGTAAAAATTACCGTAATGAGTATCAGGAACGCCCATTAGGCCGGATTCCAACATATTTCCAATGAGGTCCAATTTAAATATACACTGTCTATCTTGAGCTGAAAGATTAATTTTTAAAAAAATTTAAAAATTTAATTCCATAACTGAATATATATTACTTAAAGTAAGTTACAAACTTATAATTAAATATATGAATGACAAAATAGTTTTCCTGTCAACAGACAGTTAAAATTATACCAGTGATATGTTCTTATTTATACATAGACTCTTACATTGGCTGGTTGTGTCGATTTAAGGATTTTGTAGTAAAATGTTCGTAAAATCAGGAAAATATGAGAAAAATGTCGATAGGGGATCCAACAATTCTGATCGAGGTCCTGGAATAAAATCCCTGGGTGAGGTTCATGGGGAGAAATCTTACGGTACAGGATTACCCATGTGACTTTTGACCACAACTGCATTGGCTATCAAAATATATTTGTTTGGATCGGCAAATTAATGTCGTGGAGTCGGACGAGGGAGTTGATGTTAGTTTATAAGTTATGGTAACTCGGACTACATGAGCAAGGCTAGTTGCGTTTCAAGTTAAAAATAATACAGCAACATGTGCTACTGGGGACCAGGCCCAGGATTTATCAATCTCAGCTTAGCAAATGTCTTAAGTCAAAAAAGTTAAGATGTCCCTAAAGCCAATATCTTAAGCTGATTATCAAACCATCTTAGCAAAATCTTAGCTTAAAATTTCTTAGATGGCGCATGCGTACAGTTGAATTTTTAATTTTAAGCATGAGCTAAGCTATATTGATAAATCTGACTTAAGCAAAAAAAAAATGACTTAAGACAATTTTAAGCCGATTTCTAGTTTGATAAATCTGGCCGTAGCATACCAACTTATGCGGATTATATAAGGACAGGCTGAGGTTATTTAATTTATTCCCTTTGGAGGTCAGAAGAAATCTTAGCCGTGTTGTACTTTTTGCTAAATATTTCTTCTCTAATTGCCCTACAAGTGTGGCTTAGGCCTATCCTTTTTCCCATAGATCCCTCTAATCAAGGACTGTTAGGATTACATTATTTTCAAAAATCGTTTTTCCTTAAAGCAGCTAATTTGTCGAAAACTCTTCCTCCTAGCGCCATTTTCTGTTAAATTGTCTGCCACCTTATCTTTTATTGAAAACTGGAAGCCCTCTTGCTAACATTGTTTTCAAATTCAGGCTTTATTGTATTGCTTTTACTTTCATGTATGAATTACATTTTATCATATGATCAGTGTACCACCTTTGGGGTTGGGCCTTGGCTATGTCTTGCTTTCAGGCACGATCCAAGTAATTTCATCCTTTGCATATTATTCATCTATATGTTGAATTAGTAATAAATAAATAAATATCCGTGCACGCATGACCACATAGAGAGAGTGAGAGAGAGACGCTCAGCCATGTACTCCTCATGTCTGGTGTTTAAAATGCATCTGTATTTCAAATGTATTGAAAATGCAAATATATTTCACATTTCGACTTTCTTTTGGGGGGTCGCCATGAACGTTTCCTCTTAAACGGATACCGGCACTATGAATTATTATTATTATTATTATTATTATTATTATTATTATTATTATTATTATTATTATTATTATTATCATTCTTATTATTATTCTTATTATTATTATTATTATTATTAGGCCTATTATTATTATTATTATTATTATTATTATTTTTATTATTATTATTAGGCCTATTATTATTATCATTATCATTACAGTCCTATATAAAATGCTCAACTGCTCTGTATATTCGAAAAGGGGAAGTGTGCAAATTGTATTCATATTACAATTTAAGTCCATCTAGAGCATGGACCATTGAGGTGACATAATCATAAATCCATATGTGATAGTCCCCCCCCCCGGATCCCCTCTATTTCGAATCCGTGACTACAGTAGTAGCTTTATTTGATATCAACATCATGGAAGTAAACATCCACATTCATGAAGACATTAATATCAATATTGATAAAGACGGTGTCATTTGGCCTACCTGATCAATTTCGCTGTTCTTTAAAAATAATATAGAAAATATTTTTGTCGGGCTTTAACAAATTTCGATTATTCAGGATTAAAAGCTGTGTACCAGATAATTACTTTATAGGCTCTTGGTAATAAGTTGCATATATTGTCAATGAAAAAAAGAGATACGAATCTACAATGTAAATAACGGAAGTTAACAAGCCCCATGCTGTAATTACTGTAAATAACTTTTTTTAGCCAGTTTCAGGTCTTCGGTGGTTTTAGCGAGTCACTTGGAATGTATGTTGTTGAATAGAATGCAGCATGTCAGTGCATGCTTCTGTAGAGGAAATTGTCCAATGCCTTAAATGCGGCTGCCTAGCAAAATTAGTCAAAATAATAACCATAGAATGATGACATAATTCCCATTTAACTAGTGAATTAACGATGCAAAATGTTCAATACTGTACTTACATTTGTTATACAAGTCTCGTTCGCAGTCCATTGAGTAATGTTTATATGTAAAACGCCACCTGGAGTGGTATGAAAAACAGTTCATTACAGTATTCTCTTTCTAATGCGCCATTCCTTTATGAGATGAGGGTATTAAATGAGGGTGATAATGATAACAATAATAATAATAATAATAATAATAATAATAATAATGATGATAATGGTAATGGTAATGGTGGTAATAATAATAATAATAATAATAATAATAATAATAATAATAATAATAATAATAATAATAATAATAATAATAATAATAATAACAATAACAACAACAATTTTTGGCCCCACTCACTTTTCGACCAGAATGTAATTTCATAAGTAAAGAAGATGCCTGTAAGTTGTTGAAATAAACTGCAGAAAAGACCCAGGTTTTAACGAAAGAGCGTTGTACAACCTAAGTAGAGTTACTGTACATCTTATTATAGCAAGATTCCGGTATCTCTGCCCACTAACATCTGAATTATCTGTAATACACGACTCGAGTGTGCAGTGCCTTTATTATAATTTGAGAAGTATGAGAAAAAGTATAATACTGGTTTTCGGCACACGAAGTAGGTAAATTAAAGTAAATACATCAAAAACAATCAAGTTTTATTTTCTATGGTACAATACAGAAGTTAATTAGACCTCTATTATTGCCGGAAATTGCAGATAAACAATCATGGTGATGTGATGATGATGGATTTTACTATAGGCATGTAAGAGTGTCATTCTGGCCATCTTGAGATTTTATTCCTCAACCAAGATGGGACTGAGGTGGGTGTGGACTTACGGCTTTGAAGTAAGTAAAGTAAAGTCAAATACACCAAAGACAATGTTTTTAAGTTTTATTTTATATGGTACATCACGCATATTAATTAATTAATTACATCTAATGGTTGCGGAAAATCAATGATAAAAGATCATGAGAAATTCGTTGGCGCTTCATTTTTACTGTAATGGTGATGTGATGATGACGAATTTTACTATATATAAGTATCATTTCCGGCCATCTAGAGGTACTATTTATTTCCCAAAATGTTCGCACCTCAGCCCCAACTATGGTGGGGCTGAGATGGGTGTGGACTCACATAATTTGAAGTGATACACTAAAGTACAAAGACGGCGTCTTATTTTCTATGGTCTCATCACACATACTAATGATCTCTGTGGTTGCCTGATGATAAAAGTATATGAGAAATTTGTTGGCGCTTCATTTTGACTATAATGGTGATGCGATGATGAATTTTGTTATAGAGTGTCATTTTCAGCCATCTAGAGGTACCATTTCCTCAAATTTTCGCACCTCAGCCCAACCAGGTGGGCTGTGGTGAGTATGACTCTCCCCCATCCCGCTCTTATAATGGCCGGACCACTTGCAAAATGTTCCGACGGCTATGATCTTTAATGTAACATAACTGCTGTAACCCAAATCATGAATAATAGATCCAAGCGATCGACAGGATATAATAAACAACACAAATTTGAAAGCAATAAACCAAGATTTAATTAACATGTTCTGCTGTATCACACAGTCATCTTCAGTAAGTAAAACAAAAGAAATAAAATCTTAACAAATGTGCTACGTCAGCTTATATAGTGCCAGTAGTACACGTATGCTTATCGATACAGATGTTTCACTAATGTTTATTCATAAATATGCCACATCAGCACATATACTGCTCCCATTGGTTTACGTATGCTTAGTGATGCAAGTGTATTGAGAGGAAAGCACGTTAATAAATATTCATACTTTTGTGGACTCTTCTGGACAACTAAATTTGTATATTATATTATATCTAAGGTCGCTTGGTATTTGGTCCTTCTTGTTAAAAAGTTCCTTTTTCCGTGCTAAATGCAATATATATATATATATATATATATATATATATATATATAGCTGTTAATCGATAGATAAGATAAGATAAACTTTATTGGTCTATTCATATATAAAAATAGATAAACAGAAATGTTTCTTGAATCTGGTATAAACAATTAGAAAACCAAACTAATCATAAAAAAGACACAGACACCAAACAAACATCAAATTACAAAAAGCAAAGCGATAAAACATATATATTTAGGGCTATAATTGAAATCATTGAAATTAAATGTTGATAAACAAAATTGTAACGCTACTATTCATTACGTATTAAAATATTATAGATAAATTAAAATTATAGTTATTATTATAAAAGAAATTTCATTTACAACAAATTGAGTTGAATTTCAAAAAAAAAAAAAGAAAATATCAAATTGCAGTTCAAAAATATTAAATTAAAAATATTCAATTAAATATATTAAAATTGCACATAAATACTATATTACTCTTACAATTACATACATACATACACACACACACACATAAATACACCAGGTAACTATTATTATTATTATTATTATTACATAGAATATTCGAGTAAATCAATAATCAATTATTATTATAAGCTACAAAAATAAAATTACAAAAGTTACAAAAACAATTCATTTCACATAAATAAATAAATATCGAGTAATTTTATTCTTTAGTTGTCTTAGAGACGGGCCCCATGGTAATTTGAAATAAAATGCCTTGTCTGATTGTTTGTTTGTCGTGTTATATAAGTATGTAATTTAAAAGCCTAAAAGATAACCCAAAAAACATAACGTACTGGTATTCATATCAATGTCTATCGTTTTTTCTTAACACTTCTCCAATAATGATGTTGGAATTATTCCCATGGGTGGGGAATTTCCTGACATGAATAAGTAACGCTGAGTATGAAATGGGACGACTATTTGATTTGCAATGGCTTTAATAACTCTTGGGGGTAGGCCTATATATACCATCGTAGCCAGGACTTTTACTACAGAATTGTTTAAAAAGAGAATTGCCCTCACCTCCACTTGCAGAAAACTCTTCCGCTTGGAGGTAATTCGCCACCTTATCGGGAGATTCCCAGTGCCTGTCAGGAATTCTCCTCTTTCTCCAGGGAGAAATTTTCCACCCATTGCTGAAATTACCCACTCCGATCCTACAGCGGAAAATTACCAGTCTTACCGGGAGGTGTGTTTTCCTGTGATTATATCCCTCTGCCTCAGAAATTGTATGACATACGCTTCTGTGTTGTTTTGGTCATTGTCGTCAGTGGTGTCGAGAGGGGGGGGGTCAGGGGAGGGGTCACTGCCCCGGGACCCGGGTCTACTGGGGGCCCGGACCAAGATGAAAAATTTTCGTGGTAAGAACAAAATCTCCATAGGGCCCGAGCCCAAGCCAGGATGAAAACTTTTGTTGTCAGAACATACTCTACATTATGGTTTTATGGGCGTCTTTCTCAGTTTTTCTGTATTTTTATTACTAGATGAATAATCCCCCAGGGGAATAGTCCATCCAATGCTCTCCCATTCCAAACCAGATGCCCCCCCCCCCCCAACTTCAAACTAGAGCTTTAACTAGTCCTAGTTGAGCTCCTTAAATTGTATCGACATGATTTGACTACGGCCATACAGTTGAAGTGGAGCATACGGAACATAAGTAAAGAGAGAAGATCACCAGTAGATACCGCGAAAAGTAGGTGGGGACTTATTATTTGGATAAACTATGTGAAATAAAAAAAAACGGATAGGCCTAGCACTTTATTGACTTTATTATCAAAGTTTATATTAGACAAGCTTTTCCTATGTTAACCTCATCAAGTAGTTTCGAATTTGTGAAAGAATAAAAATCTTCTAGTGAGATCATCTCCAAAAAATCACCTCAACCCGGATTCGAACCTGGCTGTCTATGCAACTTGACCACCTCGGCCAAAGGCAATCGATTACTACACTGGTAAAATTTTGCCCAGAGGGTAGGCCTATTACATAGTCACACCTCAGGGTACGTGTAAGAGCAAAAGCATTTTACCGTGTTTTTTGTTGTTTTTTGTTTTTAAATAAAATGCCCATTTGACAGTTTACCTCAGCCTCAATTTGTTCTTATTTTGTTCTTATTTTATAAGCAATTTCAACCCTGGTGTTCTTATAAATTTGTATTCCATTAGGCCTACCGGTAACAAATTTATTGAATATTTTAGTGCTACGTATGGCAACGTGGTAATACAATAATTCCTCCATCATTCAATAACCTTTATAATACATACTGTAATTAATTTGATACCAACGTAATTTCCTAATTAATGTTTTGTTATAGATTCCGGCTAAAGTCAGCGACGTAAAATACTATATCACACAGTCACTTAGGGAGAATTGAATATGAATTAACCTTTATAATACATACTGTAATTAATTTGATACCAGCGTAATTTCCTAATTAGGGTCTAATGTTTTGTTATAGATTCCGGCTTAAATCAGCGACGTAAAATACTATATCACACAGTCACTTAGGGAGAATTGAATATGAATTTGGCCCAAGTAACATCAATTATTTTGATTTTTACACACAATGGTAAGTTTATTAATTAATTATTAATTCAGATTCTGTGATATCTCTCTTGTAGGCCTGTCAGGAAATAATAAGCCAAAATCGGTCCGGCATCTATTTAGTAGTTATAACCTGTATTTTTTAGCGTTGTTCAAATTTGTTTTTAACCAAATGATAGATATCTCATCTCATATTATATAATATGTTTTCATTCGTTGTGTGTGCAATTGAGTTTATCCACAAAAATTAGTGTTATTTTCGCTCTTCGCGAACATGTAAACTCTTAAGTCGGTTTTCTACTAGGCGAATTTATTCGCGCGAATCAAAGCGTTGGTTCGCTTCATACTTAGGCTGATTGTTAAATAATATTATATTTCTTAATTTCTAAAATAGGAACTTTTTCGTTGGGTTTAAAACCAGTAATTCTTTAAACAACATTAGAAATAAATGATATAGGTATATTAGGATAAATTTACCTCCATAAACCCATTTGAATTGAAACAACTGAAAATCAGAGACTACAGTATTTCGGTTACGAATTTCAAAACACGGCCTCATTCTCTATTCGTTTGAAAAATAATTAGTCGCGTATGGTTTTCTTTTTAATAAAAAATAATTTACCTTTTTTTCTCAGGTCTTATATCAACCTCGTTAGAATGTGTGCTAAAGCAGGAGATATCGATGAACAATAACTCCACTGACTGTTTTAGACAGTGCAAGTTTCCGGCTAGGCCTAGAGTGTGTGAGTTTGAATTTACCATAAAGTGGGGGTATATACTGGCAGCGCCTTGTGTTGACTGCCCAGATAACAAGTTCCAATGTGGGTTAGCAGAATGTTTTTCTGCTGACGGTTCAAGCCGAGCCATCATTTCGATTAATGACTACTCACCAGGTCCAAGTATACATGTAAGTATGATAATTAGCAGTATATATTTAGTCGGTAGAATGCATATTATTAACTCATAGCTTTTTTATGATTAGTGAGGCGCATGCTCTAAACCTAATCTTAAAGATTGGCAAATTCGAGTTAGAGCGGGAAAAATAAACACTTTTATGATAATGTAATTATACATAGGCCTATGTACGTTAGATCCCCATACACCGACTGTCATAGCTCTAACTAGCCAAAACTCAGGGAAGTTATTACTTGAGAGCAACAGCGCCATTCTATAGAACATGTTAAGACCGTTTCTCCTCGTTAGCCTATAAACACTGGAACGTGTCAAATAATTGAGCCTGGGCCTATGATGTGTGCCGGTGTATGGGGTGCATTGGTCACATGACACTAAAATGACAGATTTGACGTTTTTGGGGACATATTTATTGGCACATGAATAACTCCGTTACCCCTGTAACCCTTCTCAACAATAGTGAAGCTCACATCGATATTCTGGCAATATAATACATACTATTTTCAAAACCCTTACACAAATGAAAAAGAAAGGAATGTAAATGAAAGAAAAGAAGAAACGCAAAAGAAAAGGCAAAGTTAAGAAGGAAAAGGGAAAGAAAATGAAGTGAAAAAAAGTTAAAGAACGGGAAAGGAAAAGGAAAGAAAAAAGAAAAACAATGGAAAAAAAAGAGATATTGAAAGAAACGATATGGGAAAGACAAAAAAATAAAAGAAATGAAAGAATAAAGTATAAACAGAAATGAAACGGAAATGGGCAAGGAAAGGAAAAGCAAATAGAAGAGAAAATTAGAATTATGCAACAGGAAAAATTAAATTATAATTAAAATAAACAAAATTAATAATAATTCAAATAAATAATGTAAATCGTTTAAATAAAGCTCTCGTCATGAATGAAGTGATGGATGGATATGGATGAATGGATCACATGGATGCATGGATGTATGAATGGATGGGAGATGGATGAATGGATGAAATTTTCAAAGTAAGATTTGCCTGTCTTTATAACATATTTCTCTACGACTAGGTCTGCCATGGTGATATTATTCGTGTTAAAGTCAACAATGAACTACAAGGTGGCAATGCATTGACAATTCATTGGCACGGCATACATCAATTTGAAACCAATTGGGCGGATGGTGTTCCAATGATTACACAATGTCCAATACCAAGCGCAACGTCATTTGTATACAAGTTTGTAGCAGATCCGCCTGGCACCCATTGGTGGCGGTCTCACAACGGTGTCCAGAGAGGCGACGGCCTGTACGGAGCCTTGATCGTCAGGGTGCCAACACAGACAGAAATTAACAGCAAAGAATATGACTTCGATCTTCAGGAACATTCGATAATATTTAGCGACTGGACGAGTACATTAGCATTAGACAAGTTTACTTTATTAGCTCAAAATGCTGTCCCTACACACTCGCATACCTTAACGATATTGGCGAATGGAAAGGGCAAAAATAAGGGCATCACTATTGATGTTCCTATTCCTGTATTTAAAGTAGAATGGGGTTATAGATATCGGATGCGAGTGGTCAACGGAGCGATTGGCGAATGTAATATAAAACTTACCATCGAATCCCATCCAATAACGGTTATTGCTACTGACGGCTTCGATGTGGAGCCGGTCCGGGCAGACTCTCTGGTGTTCGCTCCGGGTGAAAGGTAAGATAATCTTAGCGACAGCAGCAGCAGCAGCGGCGGCAGCGACAGCAGCAGTATCATTAGCAATAGAAATAGCAACGGCATGTACCATGAACAATACTAACAATATTTAATTTAAAACAATTGTTTGAGAGACATCCAGATATTGTATTTTTTTTAATAGCTATTAAATTAATAATTCGATAGATAAAGATATTTTCAGAGACATCAATAATGTGATTTTTTTTTAGTAGCGCATTTTAGTAAGTTTATTACAAATGAAGTTAGCGCCTTACACGTTCCCCAGCAGGAAACTGATTAGAATAGAATTTCTATTTCTTATATTTTGTGTAGATCGAACTTATACCTAGTAAAGTCATAAGTGTGTGTAGTTACTGAAAGGTCCACTGATAATTCTCAGATAAGATAGTATAATACATGCTCCAAGTATCGAAATGCACGCCATCGTGTCGGTATTCAATATTGTGTCCAGATTTTTCATATTTTTGCGTAAAATGGGTCAACTTTTAAGAAAATGGGTCCCACCCTGATATTGTCCCGCACTGTTTTAAAATCCTGGAAAATTGTGTACTGTCGGTGATCTGTCAGTGAACTAGCAGTGATCGATGAAACATCTAAGCACACACTGCACTTTTTTACTCTAATTGAATCTTCAAAAAATATACAAATCAAATATAATTTAATTTCTGTCTCACTACAGGTTAGATTTTGTACTAGAGGCGTCAGCAAACCCATCTGTATACTGTATATTTATGTCTACAGCTCCCTACGACCTGTGTCCGGGAAACGGAAGCGCTATTCTAAATTACGGAGGCGTAGATTTAATTAATTTGAATTGTGACGTTGAACCAAAAACAAAACGTTTGTTTTCTACCTTGATGTTTAAGGATGAGGAAGGTGTATTTACATTAAGTGATACACACGCACACTGTAAGGATACGCTGATCTTTATTGAAGAAAATAAATTGAGTAAATTATTATTATTATTATTATTATTATTATTATTATTATTATTATTATTATTATTATTATTATTATTATTATTAAAATACTTATAATGGTCACATTATTAAGAAGACACAACAATAATTGTTACTTAACCAATATCCTGAGGCGCGTGGAACGGAGAGAGTAGAGAAAACAGTAGAACTTATACATACTGTTTGTGGTGCTGAACTAATAATAATAATTCAAATAATAAAACATTAAATAGTTAAACCGTTATTAAATTTTTAATTATTGGTCATGTTGTAACTTCAGCCGTTGTCTTTCAAACCATTTAAATTATCGTAGCAAAAAGTATAAAAACTAACTTGTGTTTTTAATGAAAGTTAATCACTTGTAAATTATAAATGCTTGAAAATGTGTAGTTCAATGGTTTGATTGAATGTGTGTGGAATGGGAATTGAATATATGGCGTAGACCTATGTTTAAGAAAAAAATACAAAGTATAGGCCTATGTAGGCCTAAAAAAAAACAAAGGTTACTTTGTATTTGGTCACGGAGGGCTATATCTGAGGATTTTTCAAATGAAAGATAGTTATATTTAAATGCACGTACTTAGAAGGTTTCTGCCTTATCTATATCTCTAACATAGACGCCGTTGATCCAGACTTATATTTTGTAAGTGAGGTATATTACGTGACACTGGATTTAGACTTTAATATAATGACCGGTAGTGGGGCGAACGCTACGATTGACCATACCACGAATTTCATGATGAATCATGTGGAGTTTATGTTTCCTTCAACCCCATTCGTCTCATCAGAGGCAAGTGACATAGATATATGTGAGCCCACTAGAAACCACACATTTGTGGGAGAATGTATGGAAAAGCGCTGTACATGTACCAATGTCCTTAAGCTAAAAGTTGGACAGGTAAGGATTCATGCAATACCTGTAGTAACATTGCGGTAAAACACTTTATATAAATAACTGGTTAATTTGTACTATAATAAATAATTAATTCAACCTATTATTAGGCCTATATACAATTGCCCGCATATCTGCATTCGCTCTTTATTCGATTAGCATAAAGCAAATGTCGATGGGATCTAGTCCCGATGTTTTGGGAGTGTGTGCCTACTTGTACCCGACCTCTCTTTATTTTATTTTGCGTTTGTATTTTTGAAATTATTTCTACGTCACCGTTAGTGCGATCTTATTCGTTTGTCATGAGTTGGCATATGAAATGCGCTATTAGCACTATATCAAAATTGTGACGTCAGACACTTTAAAAAATACAATGAATTAATTCAGACTGGGATAATCACTGGTCAATGTAGGCATATTATGGCAAAGTTCCTGGATTCTGGACCCGGTGGAGGGTGTTTCTTCTTTCCTTGACAGATTCCTCTTCTGTTTAAATTCCAATTAATATATTCATTTCATTACTCCTTTTGCTTTTTTTTGTTTACACTCGCAGATTCCTGTTCTTTGATGTTCATAATGTATATACAATTATAACATACTGCAATACAGTTTATCTCTATTATATCATGTTTTATATTAAAATGGATCTCTTCGGAGAGCCTGTCTTGTCGTCACAAATGCTTATAAGACGGGCAATGTAAAGTCACCTTAAATTCGCTTCATGCGTTTTGCTATACGTATACACATAATAATGTACATAGGGCCTAGATGCAAATAATACATGTAGTATGTAAGAGTTACCTTTATATGTACTAATACATTATAGGCCTACTTTTTTTTAAAGGTGGTGGAGTTCGTCATAATTGACAGCTTCAATATCTCAGATCATTCTATGCATATACACGGGCATTCGTTCAGAGTTCTAGCTCAAGGGAAAATGTCCAACTTGAGCGCGTATGACATCATCAATTATGATAAGACAGGTACTGTTAATATTTGTAGTAATAGGCCTAAAAATTATTAGGCCTATTAATAGTGGGGGGGGGGGGTGTTTCAATTCCTGTAAATCTCAATGTTATTAATGGTAGTCATAGTCATGTAATAGTAAATGGTCAAATGTTTATTGCTATTTTAATCGATTTTCTGATTTGTTTACTTTACTATGAAAAGGACCCTTAAATATACTGTATAAAACAACAGAGTAGCCCTATACTGTCTGTATCTACAGTTCTTTATTGAAAGTTGGTTGCAGTATCAGGCTACTAATGCCTACTTATTCCGTATCAACAACTGTTATGCAATAACGCTCGATGAATCTAAAGGAAAATCATTGACGGACCTATGATGGCAAACTGCAGGAGGGCAGCGAGCTATAGGCAGAAAATGACGGCAAAAGACCGGATTGGCAGTGGGCTAAATGGAAACTGACCGAGGCCCTTTATAATAATAATAATAAGAAATAATTATGCCCGGAATTAAAAGTAAGAATTCTTATATTTTATATTCCCCATTGTGAAGCCAAAATAATATTTCTTATTTAATTTATGTTCACATTTTTATTTTCAAAAGTTGGTATTACACGGATTTCGTTAAAATCATCGGTTGAAAAAGATACCATAAACGTACCAATGGGTGGTTATTCTATCATCAGATGGAAGGCTGAAAATCCTGGATACTGGTTCTTTCATTCTCAAGTCGAAAACTACGCACTAGTGAGTAAACACATTCTTTATGATACATTAATGTACTCTCCGCGTATAATCTATAAAACCGGGCACTCACTTTAAACCGACGGTTGTCAGTCGACACGACTCTATGGCGACTGAACGTCACAACGCGCGCGCAACGGATCGATTTTAATGACGATCCGTTCAGAGTGTGCCACCAACAAAAGCCGACTCCAACTCCGTTCCCTGAGAGCAGTGAACGACGCGATGCCGTCTGCTGACCGTCGGTGGCAGTCTGAAGTTAAAAACGATTCGTTTACGCGCGTTTGGCGTTGCTTACTGAAGCGCTTCGGTCGACGACCGCCAGGCGCAGTTAGTGCCTGTCTTAAGGCTTACAGGGATCGGAGTTGGATTCGTCGGCTGACGGTCGTAGGACCATCGTACGACGCCGTGAGTGCCTGCCATTATATATCGCGTTAGTGTAATGCGTTTAGAGTTTGTCATACAATTTGTTAAAACCTTAGTGATAAATTGAAACTATGCAATATCTCGCTTTAAAGGGTTAGATTTAATCTTCTACAAATTTAATATAACTTTTAAGTGTCTTTTAAAAAAAATTCAGGAATGAAGCGTTCGATTGCGCAACGACGTTTAAGGTGTAATTAGGCCTACGTCATCTGCGCATGCGACGACGTTGAAGAGTTCTCTTGTCTGAAATTTAGGACGCAAATTGGTCCTAATCTACGTTGTGCAGAGAACGCAAACGATCCCTACAATTTGCGAGATGAGTGAATTTTCATTGGTCAATTGTGTGGTCTATAGATGTGATATACCATCATGCTCATAGGAAAAACGTGTACTTGTCACATTTAAAAAATGATATTGTAAACAGAGAAGTACCTAGGCCTACGTACACAATACATGGTTTGCAGTTAGCGTATTAACTTTGTACAAAATTTGAACATAATATATAAACTGGTAATGTTAAGTTTACTCATTTGTATCATCATCGCCGTCGCCGCCGTTGTCGTCTCTGTCATCATAACCTTTCGAATGATTTTCATTATTTAGTTTAATACCACTTCTTTTTTTCTATTTCACAATTAACAGTTGGGAATGACAATGGTTATTCAAGTCGGTGACGATGACGAAATTCTAGACCCACCAAAAGATTTTCCGTCATGCGGACCTTGGTCACCTGACTAAGATTATTTCAATCGTCCGGTCAAGAATCCTAGCCCGATTCCTGGTATCATGAATGGCGAGTGGTCTGGTGGTAAAGATACCTGCGTTCTAATATCTCGACCCAAATCCTGTAGTAACGTCTATAGACCTTACCCGGGCACACACTGCAACGGTGGTCGTCGTCGGAAGACGCAACTTCCGCAGAGAACGCAACGCGACGAGGCGCACGAAAATGGATCGTTTTAATGACGATCCGTTCAGACAGTATAATCAGCAGATTGCGCGACGTCATTCGCTCACAGAGGCCGGGGCTGGATTTGTCTGGCGACGATCGTTTGACCGTCGTGCGACGCGGTATGTGCCCGGTTTTTATTTACAGCTTCACAGAGCTGGTTGTATTCCTCAAATACGGCATTGTGATTGCCCATGAAGGTACAGTTAAGTCCTGCCATAAAGTTAATAGATAGGCTATACATTATAGACCTAAAAGGCCTACCGTAAAACCTCGAATAGAAGCCCTGAACGTCGGATGGGCTTCTACTTCGAGGCTACGATTTCAGAGTAAATAAGGGGGAGGGGGCTTCTTTTCAAAATGAATGCTGTAAATTTTGGGCATTACTACTATTAAACAATAAATAGTGTCAACTGTAACATCAGTCTGTATCATGAGTGTATAACCGGCATTAAATCACCTAAACTATTGTGTAAACCTAGCGTGTTTTAATATTGGCTTTTGTTTCTTTGAAATTTATGTACGTACTATCTAGAAAAGAAGCCCATGGGCTACTTTTCGAGGCTACTTTTTGGGCTTCTTTTCGCGGCTACTTTTGCAACAAAAAAAAAGGGGGGGGGGCTTCAAATCGAGATGGGCTTCTTCTTGAGATTAAGCCCATTGGGCTTCTATTCGAGGTTTTACGGTATAGGCCTATGTACAAGACTAAATAGCAGTGTTCAATTTAAAAAACACGATGTAATAATGGCTATTAAACGAAAAGTTAATTTTTCAGTTGTACAAAAAATGGTGGGATTCAAACCTGCCAAGGCGAATGTCGCTATCAAGGCGACTG